TATTTTTTCATATACCATTTTTTCTTCTATTCGTATGTATGCAGATTTATTTTTATTAATTAATTAATTTACAATAAAATGTTTGTTTCATTAATATTCATCATTATTAATAATAAAAAATTATATTCATTTTAATTTAAAACAAAAAAATTATAATCTATATCTTTAAGTTAAAAATTAAAAGTGTATATACCACCATCCAATATCAAAAACACATTAAGTATTAAGAAATTCTAACTTTAAAATCACTTGTAAAAGTTAAAATTATTTACAATCAAATCAATATTACATAAATATAAATATAAAGATATAAAATCTTTTATAAAGCTTTTCAAAGAATGAGAGAATGATTAAAACTAACATTTTTTTTTTGGTAATCTAAGGGGGTTAGAAAACAACACCCCAAAGAAATCAATTCAACAAGATCCTTCTGAAATTACAAACCAAAGACAAATCAGCCCAATAAAAGGCCAAATACCAGGGGGAGGGTTTGAAAAAACACAAAAATTATTCTCAACAGGATAATCTAAAGGAAATCTAGAATGCCAATCTGCACAACTATTTCCTTCTCTAAAAACATAAACCAATTGAACTTTCCAATTCTTTTGTAACCATGCTCGAATCCGAGTCACTAAACGGGACTCTCGAGCTACTCTTCCATTCCTGGAGAGCAAAGTGATAACTGATTTTGAATCACTTTCTAGGATGCAGCGTCTCCAACCTCTAGTCCAAGCAAATTCAAGACCCTTGAGAATGCCCCATAATTCCGCACCAAAGGCTGAACAGTGACCAATATAATAAGAAAATCCGTCTTTCCAATAACCATATTCATCTCTTATAATTCCTCCACAAGCAGCACCCCTACCATCACTTCTCTCTGCACCATCCGTGTTTAATTTACTCAACATGTATCCGGAGGTAACCATCTAATAGGAACAATAGTATAATTTGTAGTAAGCTTTGTTCCCTTATTAGTTATCCAGGCTTGTGAATACGCACCAGATTTTCCACGGACTGCACCTTATAAGCTTTCCAATTGTCTTCCACACCATGGACCTGATTGTTTCTCCACCTCCAATCTAACCAAACGGTAACAGCAAAAACCAACGATCAAGGGGCATCAAAGCATAAAATAACTACATTTTGAATATTCAAAAACAGCCATGAATCTAAATCAGTATTAAAAAAATCAATTACCATATTTGGCCTCAAAAGATCAGTCCTAACTTTTTTAATTTTTGGATAGTCGCGGGCCATATGAATAATAGATTCATCCTGAAGATTACAAATAGGACAACAAGGGGGACACAAGTTGAACTTAGCCAGAAAGTTCCTGGTTGTGAGACGATGGTGAGCATTCTTCCAAAGGAACAAACTTATACGATTGGGCCCTTTTAATTTCCAAATAACTGACCAGAATTTTCTGTCAAAACCATTCATATTATTCTGATTTAACAAGGTATAATAGATATTTTTCACAGAAACTTCATTTGATCCACCTAAATTCCACCATTTTCTGTCAATACCATTAGATTCATGAGGAGGCAGCATGCTTCTAATAATTTGAACACAATCATCTGGAAGAAGAGTAGATAAATTCTCACAATCCCAAGCTCCATCATGAGTAACATAATCTATTACTTTCTTTTCAGCCTCCATTGGGGAAATTTGAGCAATAGCTCTGTTAGAAAGTTTATCTCCAATATTCACCCAGTGATCTTCCTAAAAAAGGACAGATGAACCATCATCCACATCCCAAACTTGAATACGTAATTCAGGTTCCATTCTTATTATTTAAAGTATAATTATTATATATCTGGACCATTTTATAAGATTAGTTGATTTCATATTTTGAAGTTTCTAAATAAAAAACAATAATATTTCTCTTATTTTATATAAACAATATTTTCCTTCTGATCTCCATTCTTTCATTAATAATTTCTTTTACTTATATTATTTATATTTTAAACTTATACAAATGTATCAATATTTTAAAATTCAGAACATAATTTTATTATTAGGTTTTATTATTATTTTTTAAAATTTTGAATATAAAGTATGAATTTATTTTATATAAATACATAGGAATAGGATCCTTTGACTTTTAGTTTGACAAAAATCTCAATAGTTGATTTCCGTCAATCGACGATTATAATTTATTAAAAATTAATAATTAATTAATAAGTGCGATCTAATAGATTATAACTGTCAGATTGACAAAAATCAACGGTTAAGATTTAATGTTAAATTTTTTAGTTTGACAATGGTATCAAAAAATCATGACTCATATATCATATATATATATATATATATATATATATATATATATATATATATATATATATATAGGGCTTATCATTTCTCAAGTTGCTTGAGATAACTTTATCTCCGGCTACTAAATTATAACCGTACAAAGATGGATCAACGGTGATAAAGGAAGAGAGAGAAAAAGGAAATCATAATCATTCAAAGGTGAATCAATTAATATATGAAAATAAATAAACAAAACGACGTAGTTTTGGGGTGACCGGAGATAAATATATCTCAAGCAGCTTGAGAAATATTTTTCTCATATATATATATGGGCTTATCGTTTTTCAAGCTGCTTGAGACAATGTTATCTCCGGCTACTAAATCATAACCGTACAAAGATGGATAAATGGTGATAAAGGAAGAGAGAGAAAAAGGGAATCATAATCATTCAAAGGTGAATCAATTAATATAAGAAAATAAATAAATAAAACGACGTAATTTTGACAAAGATGGATAAATGGTGATAAAGGAAGAGAGAGAAAAAGGGAATCATAATCATTTAAAGGTGAATCAATTAATATAAGAAAATAAATAAATAAAACGACATAATTTTGGGGTGGCCAGAGATAAACTTATCTCAAGCAACTTGAGAAATGTTTTTCCATATATATATATATATATATATATAAGATCATTTGACACCAAATCTTAACGATTGATTTTCGTCAATTTAACCGTTATAATTTCTTAAAAATTAATAATTAATTAATAAATATGACACAATGAATTATAACCATTGAATTCATAGAAATCATTAGTTAAGATTTGGTGTCAAAGATATAAATTATAACTGTTAAATTCACATAAATCATTAGTTAAGATTTAATATCAAAGGATCATGTCTTTTATATATATATATATATATATATATATATATATATATGACCCATTAGTTGAACCAATAACGTAATGACTAGTATTTCGACTGAGTCAATAATCGAATCAGTTTTTATAACATTGATTATTGTATTGTTGTCAAAATAAATGAATAAAATAGATAAAGTTTTGTTACAAAAAAAAAAAATAGATAAAGTTTTGTATAAAAACTCACCGTTATCAACGGAGTCCATAATTTCTGCACAAAAAGTAATTTGCTTAGTGACAAGATACTAGCAAATGTTTAATGAGGAGATTCAAATAAAATATTCAAACCTTGGTGACAAAACATTACTTGTTCAGAAGAGAAAATGATGAAATTTGGTGTAAAAGGGGACAGAAACACCAACATGACAAAATTGTCAAAACTAAGTTTACTTTTGTTCCCGCTATCATTCCTATTCCTCATAGCATCATTTTTTGACTTTTCCATTGTTAAAGGAAAACCTATAAGCACCCCTCCACCTTTTTGCGCCTCTTTAACTGTTTAAAGACACGGATAAAATAAAAAAGCACCGAATGAAGAAAAATAGTTGTGTCTCAACTCAACTCTCACACACAATCAGTGTCTCTTTCTTGCACCTAACTAGAAGATTCCGAAACAAATTGATTGTCGTACCAATAAAAAAATAGTTTAGGACAAAAAAATAAATAAATAAAATTATTTTATTTTATTGCCAAATTAGTATAAGTAATGCAAAAAAAGAAAAAGAAATAACTCAATGAATAACACAAATTTATAATTTTTTGTTACAACATAAAAAAGAGAAAAAGAATAATTCATATTTTTTCATTGTCCTAATTTATTATGCATAAAACAATACACAATATAGAGAGTGTTATAATAAATCTTGTATTCTATCCATGGTATCACAATTTTTTAATTATTTGTGTTAATCGTCAAACAGCTAATAACGCAAAAATTTATTCTCTGATTCAACCATTTTGTGTTGTGTTGTTATTCTACTCTCTCTTTTTTTAGTGCATTATTCTACTCTCTTTTGTTTATATTGTCTTTCAATGTGCGTCAACCGTAATAAATTGATTAATAATAATGTTTTAAAAATTAAACTTACAATCAAATTCATAATTTTTTTCAAGTACAATTCAACCATATTTAAATCGGATAAAGGATAATAAAATTCAAGACATAAGTTATTAATGATGTAACCGATTAATCCAGTTTGAATTTTAAAATATTGACTCATAGGGTACACTATACTATGATGCATCCACGTTTCAAAAACTTCACATATTATGTAGAGCACTTCTCGACACTCCTTGACATTTCAATACGCGTTTTAGAGACTCAAAAAAAAGTTCAAAGATTGTATTGCGTTTTTAGTTTCAACTATTATATTCGTTGGATTACGATTATTATATTATTGAGTTTAATATAAATATATGTAATATTTACGGTTCTTTGCAAAATTAATAGGTATTATAAATTTAACTTTATTTTTTTGTTAAATTATTGGATATTAAATATAATATATAATTCATAAATTAAAAATATTATTTAATATCAAAACTTGTTCTAAGGTATCAAAATCTAATATTTTTTAAAATTAACATATCAAAATATCATGTCATGTGTCGTGTCGATGTCGGTGCAATATAGCACCACACTATACATGATAAAATGTCTACTTTAAATATATATATTTTTTAATTTATAAATATATTAATAGTCTAAATCTCTTCCAAGATTATGACAAAGCATGACCCACAAGACAGGCCCATAGCTTTGGAGAATTGCAATCTATGCAATGAGCAACTCCTGTTTAACCAAAATGACCAATGAACTCTCACAACAGGAACATCTTCAACTGAGTTTCTCTCTCTTTCCCCACTTCACTGCTACCTTAAACCCACTGCAACTACTGCTACTAGTACTACTGCACTTTTATCATTCACTTCACATTCTGTTCTGTTTTACTATCCTTGGTGGTTTTTCTCACACCCTATGGACCGTACTGAAAAGCAGCAGCAGCAGTTGTCCTTGAACAAGAGTACGCGCCAAAGATACAATGAATGGTTTGTTTTTTTTCATGCTTTCTCAGTCCTCTTCTTTTTATGCTGTGAATTACCCATGCTTGTCCTTTTCTAGAGTTCAAGGTTGTTGGGTTTTGCTTGTTTCTTGTTTTCCTTCATAGAAAACTTGTTACTTGAAGGGTGACTTTCTGTTTGTGCATATGTTGTTTTGTTGTGATATTCTTATTACTGTAATGGGCACTGACTAGTTTTTTTTTTTTTTTTCTTTGTTCAATATTTTATTGTGTTGTTAGTAGTGATCTATTGAACATCTGGTCTGTGGCCTGTCATGTATTAGTATAATTATGCTAATTAATCACTTGAATTCTGCTAAAGATTATTGTTACTGAACTTAAAAGGAATGATAGGAGATCTGTTCTAATATTGTTATGAGATGATGTTATATGTTTCTCAACCATTTATCTTCTGTGTTATCAATGAAATATCATGCCTTCTCTCCTTTGAGCATGGGATTGCTTTTTATTTTGTATTTGGATGCTAAAAGTGTTGATCTGGACATCTTGATACATTACAACACCATCCTTCTTATCGTTGTGAACTGTATTTTCTATTTATGATTCTGATTTTGTTATAGCTGGTATAATGGTATTTATAGTAAATGTTATTATTTTATCTCTAGTAGTATAAGTTGATTTAAACTTTTTCCCTTTCTTTCTTTCTTTCTCGATTAAGGGACATATTGACGAGCACTTTCTTTTCTTATTAAGCCAGAGTGCCAGACAATGATCATATCAATAAAGCCTGTTATTGATGTTGTTATCTTAATAATTTGAGGGATTAATGTTTCTCATGTTGTAGAAGATAATTTTATCTCCTACATACACATAAAAAATGGGTGAGGCTCCGCCCATGTGAAGAGAAGAGAGAGAAAAAGAAAACATGGACCCAACACATTTTTTTGTATGTATAGGAGATAATTTTATCTCCTGTAATATGAGAAACACTCATCTCATAATTTAATTAATTGAGCTATAAGATTAATAGGATTCCAATTTTATTTTCTTTTTCTTTTTTAGTTGGTCCTTTGCGGAATTAATGCAGGTAATATCATTTACTGAAAAAAAAAGTTAATAATTGGACTTCAAAACTGCTACCATTTTTGTTCTTGAATAATGTATGCCCACTTAACTCAGTTTTGCTATATTCATATAACTTTTTCCTTATTCATTTCTTCTGCTTCTTGTCATTTTTAGAAAAGTTGAAGTGTTGCCATTTATGCCTGTAAATAAGGGACATGTTTATGTACATCTTAATTCCAAAGCAATTGCCTAGTTGGTATTAATACCTTTTTATTATGATTGATTATGAGTGTTTTTTTCCTTCTAAGCAAAGAATAAATCATTTTCTTACATGCTTATATGTTCTTTTAAAGAGATTATAGTCAATAAAGAGACTGTGATGTTCCTAACTAACTCTTGAAATCCCAAGTTAGTCTTGAATTACACAAGTTCATAGTTGCAACAAAACTGTTTCTTTAGAATGATTTACCCATTAACCTTTTGTAGGATTTTTCGGGATGTACCAAGCGATATAACTATAGAAGTGAATGGAGGAACATTTTCATTACACAAGGCAAGTACTTAGCTCGTTTAATTTGAATTTTTTTTTTATGATTCTTAATAAAGACATGACAATTACTATGCAGAAGTCCCTGTCTGTGATTGTTCTAATTGTTATTACTTTGTGTCTGAAGTTTCCTCTTGTCTCTCGAAGTGGGAGAATAAGGAGGTTAGTTGCAGAACATAGGGATTCTGATATCTCAAGAGTTGAGCTTCTTAATCTACCGGGAGGTGCTGAATGCTTTGAGTTGGCTGCCAAATTCTGTTATGGTATTAACTTTGAGATAACATCCACAAATGTTGCCCAGCTATGTTGTGTTTCTGATTACCTTGAAATGACAGAAGATTTCTCAAAAGACAATCTTGGATCGCGTGCCGAGGAATATCTTGATAGTATTGTTTGCAAGAATCTTGAAATGTGTGTTCAAGTCTTGCAACAGTGTGAAAGCCTACTTCCTCTTGCTGATGAGCTAAGAATAGTTAGCCGCTGCATTGATGCAATAGCATCAAAAACTTGTGCAGAGCAAATAGCTTCTAGTTTTTCGCGGTTAGAGTATAGCAGCTCAGGGAGGTTACACATGAGCAGGCAAGCCAAATGTGATGGTGACTGGTGGATAGAAGATCTTTCTATTTTAAGAATTGACATGTATCAAAGAGTCATAACAGCCATGAAATGCCGTGGGGTTAGGCCAGAGAGCATTGGTGCTTCCCTTGTGAATTATGCACAAAAAGAATTGACAAAGAAATCTTGCTTGTGGAATCCATCTAGCCAGACTAAAGTTGATTCAAACTCAACTTTGCATGAGAAGCTTGTGGTTGAGACCATTGTAAGCCTTTTGCCTATTGAGAAACTTGTTGTTCCAATCAATTTCCTTTTCGGGCTTCTTCGAAGTGCAGTGATGCTTGATTGTACAATTGCTTCTAGACTTGACCTTGAAAGAAGGATTGGATCACAGCTAGATGTTGCCACTCTTGATGATGTTTTGATTCCATCTTTCAGGCATGCAGGTGATACCTTATTTGATGTTGATACAGTTCATAGAATCTTGGTAAACTTCTGTCAGCAGGATGATAGTGAAGAAGATCTAGAAGATGCTTCTGTTTTTGAATCTGACAGCCCTCATTCTCCTTCCCAAACTGCGTTAGTTAAAGTGTCCAAATTAGTGGACAACTACCTTGCTGAAATTGCCCCTGATGCAAACCTTAAGCTTTCTAAGTTTATGGTCATTGCAGAAACCTTGCCAGCACATGCACGCACTGTTCATGATGGCCTATATCGAGCAATTGATATTTACTTAAAAGTATGTTTTGTTATCCTTGCTTTGATGATATGTGTACAAGATTTTGCTACCAGCAGTGAACAAGTTAACTTAAAACCTGTTGCTGTGTTGAATTTGATCTAAAGAAAATTCCCATTTCATGTCAGATATATACTCTTTCTCTTTATCTGCCTAAACACACTCTTTTTAAAACACTTTCTCTTTGCACATCATTCATAAAGTTTTCTGTGTTAATCAAACTTGTGTTGTAAACATCATGTATATAATCTCAAAATCTTCCCAGAGGCAAGAAGCAAAATTTTGCAATTTAAAACTAATGCTTTCTGTAATGCATTTTCAGGCTCATCAAGGTTTATCAGATTTGGACAGGAAGAAACTAAGCAAATTGATTGATTTCCAAAAACTCTCTCAAGAAGCTGGAGCACATGCTGCACAAAATGAGCGCCTTCCTCTCCAATCAATAGTGCAAGTTCTATATTTTGAACAATTAAGACTTAGAAATTCTTTGTCAAGTTCCTATGGGGAAGATGACCACAAGCCAATGCACCAGTCATGGCGCATAAGTAGTGGTGCACTAAGTGCAGCAATGTCTCCACGAGACAACTATGCATCATTGAGACGAGAAAACCGTGAGCTAAAACTTGAGTTGGCTCGACTGCGAATGAGATTAAATGATCTAGAGAGGGAGCATGTTTGCATGAAGAGGGATATGGCAAAGTCCGGATCTCGTAAATTTATGAGTTCTTTCTCCAAAAAAATCAGTAAGCTTAGCATCTTTGGACATGGTTCTTCCAGAGGATCAAGTTCTCCATCTAGGAATTCTCAGAGAACAAATTCAAAGGTGATTGAGAGAACCTGTGTTAGCACAGAGTAGATATACGTTTAACTGCTATTTTTCTTTTGGTATTTTTCACCCTACTCATTCAGCAAACTGTAAGTTATGCTCATGGTGACATTTTACTTCATTTTGTTTATATTTTGTTCCTTTTTGGCCACTTTTATGTTAGTTCAACTAGGAAGTTCCTCTTGCTTGCAGATTAGCTTTGTTTGACTATATATTATGTATAAAATGTTGACATGAATGTGAAATCAAATGTTACTAAGTTATGTCCCATCTCTACTTGAAGTACTTTTAACAGGGTGGAAAGAGGATAATCTTTGTACGTAATCTTACTATTGCATATTTGCAGAGAGATTGTTTTCTGGATTAGAATTTGTGATGTTTCAATTTTCAGGCTCATAACAAATATGTCAATGATTAATCACATTTGAGTTCCTAAAGAATGACATCATCTAGCCACGCACCCGATACCTCTCCGCAGTTTGAATTTCGTTATGTTCTGTAAATGCTAATAGCACCATATATAGCTAAAACTGCAAGAGAGATATTCTTGTTCTGAAAGTTTTGTATGTTAAAATCCTTGGCTGTAATTTGACTTTCAACAGAAATATTTGAATAATTTATCTCTGTAAATGTTGTTACCATAAACAAGTGTCAGTGTCTGTAAAGAACCACTTCAACCCAAAACCTTAAGGTATTGGGTGAGGGATTGGTTCTTTACAGTGTCATTCTTAAAGAAGTTGTCAACAATACCAAAGCCAGATAAAGTAAAAATTGCCAAACTGCACTTCCTCTCATCAGAGTTACCTTAGAATGGAAGGAAAACTTAAATAATACACCGCAAAGATAGTTTTAATAATGGAGAGAGGTACTACGTTTTCGATGTTTTTTTTTTTTTGTGTCATTTTGAAATAATTACATTAAAGTTTAAACTGATAGATAAAGGCACATAAATGATTTTATATCCAACAACTATTTCTTTCAACTGACTAATGACTACATGAAATTAAAATAAAATAAAAATTCTTCCTTTTACGGTAAGCCTCATAATTACCTTTCAATGGCAACTTGTTCATCATCTGAAATTAAAATAAAAAAAAATAATAATAACATGGTAGTAAAAACATACAAATTACTTTGTTCTATGAATAAAGAATACCCTTTGGACAGAGAAATTCCCTACAATCACCATAGGCATTCCTTACTTAAAAAACTGTTTTTTAAAACTCTGTGGACTTTAACAAACACCAAAAGGCATGGTTGAAATTTAAAATTGATCTCCAAAAGGTCAACATTGTTAACACTTTAACAGTGAATCTGCTGTAATGAAATAGGAACCTTGTAAGATACCTCTAAATAATAGACACGGGACCATGAAATTCTTGCTGCAAATTTGTCCCTTTTGTCTGTACTAGTGTTGTGGGACTCAATAGTTCCTTACTGAAACTCCAATATAATTAAGAATCATGTTGTTCATTCTGTATGTTTTTGTAGACATTATATACCAAACAACATCGAAATGCAAAGATATTCTTGCTTTGACTATGGCGACAAGCGTGCCTATATGTCCAAATCGTTCTCTTTTCAAGATGGACCATATATCATCACTCTCCGTAAAAGCTGAAGGTTCATATGTACATATATGATTACACTTGATCCACTTGTAACAAAGGCGAATTTGTAACTCATTAGAAAGTCAATTATGTTGTGACAGGTCCCTCAAATTCAGCACGGAAGCGATTTACAGGTCGGCAGGTTGAGGTCGGAGCTCGGCACTTAGAGATCAACCTGTAGTCACCAAGTCGGCCCACATGCAAAAACAAGAAAAGTGCAAAAGTGAGAGAGACAGAGAGATGATATGCCTCCAGCATATATATGATTTTAAGTCAAAAAGAGCAAGAATCTTGATTAATCTCGAATAAAAAGGGCTATAATTACTATTAAACTGATAAATCCTAATCAGGTATCTTGTCACTGATTTTCTTATATTTTTATAGGAAAAAGGACGAGAAAGAGGGCAATTAATAGCCAAGGAAAGACACGAGTCTGAAGCCACCGCGCTATTAGCGCAGCACTGGCGCTATCAGCGCCAACATCACCTTTCAACACAGTGCCACCACGCTACTAGCGTGGCACTGGCGCTATCAGCGCCAGCATTTTCTGTCAACCACGCTATCAGCGCGAGATTCACACTAGTTGTACGAAGCTACTGCCTCCAGACAACACTCCTACGCTATCAGCGCCAATCTGGCGCTAGTAGCGCGGGAAGCACATGACAGTTTTAAGTCTTATATCAGAAAGTATATGAAGGAGATGGAAATCAAGAGATGTGATCAAGATTTGAATCAGAGGAAAAAGTCTATAAAAGGGAGACAGAGAACCCTTAGAAAGGCATCTTTGGCTGGAAAGAATTGTGAGAATCAGAGAATTGAGAGAATTCTTGGAGACTCACGTTGGATATCAGGATTCCGACAAAGTTGAAGACTGGAGACCATTGATTCTTCTGTTTCATCCTCTTCTTCTTTTCTATTTCTTTTATGAATTATTATTTTGATTTGTTAAAGCCAGATATGTCTGGCTAAGTTCTTTTTGTAGTTGGGATCACGGATTCAATGTGAATCCTTTTATATTTTTAAATTGTTTTTATAATTAATTTAGTTTATTAGTTTTATTCTACCTGTGTTAATTCTTTCATATCCTTTATAGAATTGATCGCTCTATTATAGGGTTTTGAGGGTTAAAGCTCACAATAGAAATATTGGGGTTTTAATCTAGACAAGGGTAGAATAACAGTCAGTGTATGATCTAGACATAGGCTTACATAGATTGCGGACTTTTAGATTCATTTGTTTAATGCTTAATTCAAGAGGAATTACTAGGACACTAGGATTCTAATTGGGTTAAAGGGTTGAAAACACTAAGACATTAGGGTTCAACTATTTAATAGGGAAATAATGAATTGTCTGAGCTAATAAATTAGTTAGTTATAAAATTCAATTTAGGAATATAAAGGAGGATCGGAGGTGAAGTGCATCCTGACTGCAATTCTTTTACAAATTCAATTATTCACATTTTCTTTGACGTTCTTGATAATTATTGAATGCGTTTAATTCTTATTGTCTTTAATTTTCTATTGACAATATTTTCACAATCAAACCGAGTTTTTTCCAAATTAAGGGGAAGAGTTAAATTAGTAGTTGGTGCATTAATCCTCGAGTGAACGATCTTTACTTATCACTTTTATTACTTGAAACGAACGATATACTTGCCGATTTCGCAACAAGTTTTTGGCGCCGTTGTCGGGGATTAATTACGCCAACATTAATTTTAACTTTCGATCTTTGAGATTGGAATTTTATTTTTATTTTTGTTACTGATTTGATTTCTCTCTTTTATGCGAGGTAAAGTTAACCGTGAATCTTTACAGTTTAATCCAGAAACCGAGAAGACTGCAAAGAAGAATAGGAAGCTAGCCAAGCTAAGAAAGCAAGAGGAATCCTCGAGTTCAGAGCCAAAAGCAGAACCCGAGGTGGCAGCTCCTAATCCACCACCAGAGGATGAATTGATGGAGTCAATCCTTGCTCCTCTTTTCACAAGGCCTAATTCTAGCATCGTCAGACCACCAATTGATGCCAACAAGTATGATATCCATCCATCACTGATATCCTTGGTGGAGAAAACTCCATTTGGTGGGGAAGATTATGAAGACCCCATGATATACTTGTTACTTAAATAATAATACACCGCAAAGATATTTTTAATAATGGAGAGAGATACTACGTTTTCTATGTATTTTTTTATTTTTTATTTTTTATTTTGTGTAATTTTGAAATAATTACATTAAAGTTTAAACTGATAGATAAAGGCACATAAATGATTTTATATCCAACAACTATTTCTTTCAACTGACTAATGACTACATGAAATTAAAATAAAAAATAAAAATTCTTCCTTTTACGGTAAGCCTCATAATTACCTTTCAATGGCAACTTGTTCATCATCTGAAATTAAAATAAAAATAATAACATGGCAGTAAAAACATACAAATTACTTTGTTCTATGAGTAAAGATCATTGTGGATAGGCTTAAGCTTACAATGGAGAATTTAGTTTCTCCTTACCAAGCTAGCTTCGTGCCAAATCGTCAGCTTCAGGATAATATTATAGTAGCAAAGGAGCTGGTTCATTCTATGGGGAGAGTAAAAGGAAAGAAAGGTACAATGGCAATCAAACTGGACCTTGAAAAAGCTTATGATAAACTCAGTTGGAGTTTTATCTATAAAGTGCTTATTGAAGTTCAGTTTCCTGATTGGATGATTGGTGTTATAATGGCTTCTATAACTTCTAATCGTTCGAGGGTCTTGATAAATGGTGTGGCTTCGGATTGCATAGTTCCTCAGAGAGGAATTCGCCAAGGGGATCCAATATCTCCTTATATTTTTGTGTTGTGTGTTGAGAAGCTTTCCCACTTGATCGCTGAAAAAGTGACTATGGGTTCGTGGAAGCCTATTAGAGTCTGCAGAAGAGGGCCGAGTGTATCCCACCTTTTATTTGCAGATGATATCATTCTCTTTGCGGAAGCAGATATGGAGCAAGCTAAGGTGATTATGGATTGTATTAATCTCTTTTGTGAGATGTCGGGGCAAAGTGTTAGTGCAAATAAATCTTTGATTTATTTTTCCCCGAATACTGATACTCAAGTTGCTACAAGGATTGTCAACAGAATGGGCTTTAAGCGCACTTCTAGTATTGGCAGATATTTAGGCTCTATTGTTAAACAAGGGAGATATATTAAAGCAGACTATGGAGCTATCAAGGATAGGATACGTTCAAAACTGGATGGTTGGAAAAGCCATTGCCTTTCTTTTGCTGGTCGAGTTACTTTGGTGAAATCGGTCATTGCTGCAATCCCTTCTTTCCATATGCAGAATGGTCTTTTACCAGTAACGTTTTGTGATGAAATTGAGCAGATACAAAGGGCTTTCATTTGGGGAGATCAGGATAGCAGAAGGCGGGCTCATTTAGTAGCTTGGGATCAAATGTATAAACCCAAAGATAGAGGTGGTTTGGGAATAATTAACCTTCGACTCCAAAATGAAGCTTATATTCATAAACTGGCGTGGAAGGTGTTAACTAAGAAAGATGATTTATGGGTTAAGATTTTAGTAGCCAAGTATGGTAGAGGTCAAGACTTAAGGAGAGGTATAAAGGCAAAATCATATGACTCTAAACTTTGGCGTGATCTTGCTAAATGTTGGAGTAATTTCC